TCTGAGAATGGAAGCTGATTAACCAGTTCACGAAGGGTGCGTTCAGACGGGGCATTTACAACGGTATAGGTGCCAGTTGGAATCGGTGTACTTACCGGCGTTCACACGTAGAACATCTGCCTTCCATTCCTAACCGTTGCAAAGAGCTTTAAACCGGTGTATTCTGCCACCAGTTCCATAAGTGGTGGTATCCTGAGTGCACCGGCTGTAACCGCTTTACCCCCCCCCCCCCGGTCTACTCGCTCTCCCCCACTGTCAAACCACCTCTTCTGCTTTTCGCCCGCCATTTTTTTTTAGGTCGGTGATATGCGCTTGGGCGAAGCTTTACCCCGGCGTTTGTTTTTTAAAAAAGAAAAAGGTTCTTAGTTTAAGGTTTTAGAGGAGTCCGGGACCTCAGGGAGGCCAGTTTGCTCTTTAAACTTTAAAGGTAAGTCCTCTCTTCAGGGCGTGGTATTTCTGGACATGGTGTTTTGCACATGCGCGAAGATCGCAATTCAGTGGATGGCTGCCTATGCGCATGCGCAAACTGAGATAAAAAAACAAAACAAACTGCCGACGCCGCTGTGTGTGAATGGGCTCCGCAGATCGGAGGTAAGTGTGATCGCGTTTCAGCTGGCATAAACTGCAACGGTTCCAACCGATACAGTTTCTGCCGGCTGAAACGCCCCAAACTTCCCTTCTGAACGCACCCAGTGACTGTTCTTCTGGAAGACACGGATTTGACCAAAAGGTTTGAGGAGGCACAGAGGTCCCTCAAGCAAGTCAAAAGAAGTTATTGCTCTTAAGGAGAAAAGAATGCCAATCTGGCCAGAGGAAGAGGGGGCAGACAGGAAAACCCCTGGTCTATAAACATAATAGGGTTACAGCATAATAATCATCCAGAAACAAGTTCAAAAGAAGGTATAAGGGACTCTAGTAAACTATCTCAGTAAAAGCAGAGAAACCTCTCTAACAGCATCAAGCCAAAATAAACCAGGAAAAATAACTCCCTAAACATCTCTAAAGGTAAAGGTTCCCTTGCTCGAAAGCCAGTCGAGTCCGACTCTAGGGTTGCAGTGCTCATCTCCGTTTCAAAGCCGAAGAGCCAGCGCTGTCTGAAGACGTTTCCATGGTCATGTGGCCGGCATGACTAAACACTGAGGCACACGGAACGCTGTTACCTTCCCACCGAAGTGGTACCTATTTATCTACTTGCAATTTCTTGCTTTCGAACTGCTAGGTTGGCAGGAGCTGGAACTAGAGACGGGAGCTCACTCCGTCTTGCGGCACCCGGGTCTTGAACTGCTGAACTACTGACCTTCCACAGCCTGCAGTTCAGTGTCTTAAACCACTTGAGCCACTAGAGATTTTATACATCTCTAGTGATGTATAAAAGCAGTTTCGGATATATATTTGAACCTCTCTCTACCAAACTTCACTTGTAAATATAATTTTCCAACCCCTGCCTGTTTATTCCAATAAATTTTGATTTCTGTTTCAACTTTCAGTGTGCCTAGGTATGAGGGAGAATTTTGAGGTACAGACCCTCCTCAGTCACAGTTTCTTATTTCGGGTGTAAGCCAGCGAAGTATCAAACAGTGATAAGACGGGACAACAGCATTAAAATAAAAGTTTATTTACCACATAAGAAGAGTGACACGTTACCCAAAGGCTACTCAGTTATCAGATGGGGGACTGGAAATTCATAGGGAGATTGGAGGGAAAATCTGAGACCGTATAAGGGTGATTGTTTGACTGGAGTTGTCTGCTACATAACCCCTAATTTTCTTGGCAGTCAATCCACAAGTACTGGACTTGGTCTGGGCAGAGTTCTTCTGCACCACAGCCCTCTCTCTGCATTTTCTCAATTGTGGAGTCGGTTTCTTTTCTTCCACAATAATAAGGATTTTCAGGGGAGGGTGCGGTCATCATCACTGGCATTACACGCCCCCCCCCCCGCACTCATGTTTATATCAACTTATTGATATCATGGCTGCGAAAGCAAGACAGGAGGAAAACTGACTCATTTGAGCTGTGGTGCTGGAGAAGGCTTCTGCGCATTCCTTGGACGGCAAATGCGACAAACAAGCAAGTATTGGGAGTGCATAAAACCAGACATGCCATTAGAAGGACCCTAACCCTAACCCACAAAACTGTGACTGACTTATTTTGGCCATGTCATGCAGAAGAACTCACTAGAAAAAGCAATTATGCTTGGATCGGTTAGTGGCAAAAGGAAACCGGGCCACCAAAGAACACGGTAGCTAGACACCATAAAAGTCAACACCAGCCTGAGCATGGAACGACTCAAAGAAACAGTACAAGAC